CTCCAGTTGTTTATAATTCATATGCATGTTTTCGATTTCGATTTTTTGGCTATTCATAAGGGAGTTATTTAGACTTAGACGGTTAATGAGGTCGGTGTTGCTCTGCTTGTACTTTATGATATCTCTGTTGTTGTTCAGTTCGATACTTTCAATTATACTCCTCAGTTCAGTAATCTGTTCCTCCTTCTTGTTTAGCTGATTGTACAATTCTTTTATCACTCTCTTTTGTTTTTCTATATTCAGTTTTTTTTCCTTTAAATATATGTCATTTTGAAGTAGCTTCTGGTTCGTCACGTTAAGGCAGTTCTCTACACGATGGACTTTGTTATTTGCATCCACCTCCATTTCGTTTTTCACACTTTTGTATTCCCTCAGATGCATGTAATTCTTCTCGATCTCTTTTTTCAGCTCTGCTAGCTTCTCATTCTTGGTCATGTTTTCTTCATTCAGATAAAAGAGCTCCTTGTTTTTTTTTTTCAATTCTTCGTTCAGGGTCACTATTTCTTCGTTTTGCGAAATAAGGATGTTCTTCATTTTTCTCATTAGGAAGTCTCCCTCACCGGGCGGGCCTGCTGCGCTTGAAGCGGCAGCAGCGGCGACGGCGGTTCCAATGCATCCAGGAGATGCCGCGGCTGATGCTCCCACGGATAGCCCCTCTGTGTTGTCCGAGAAGCTCTCGTTTTCCACCAACAGCTCGTTCAGGCGCGCGCTGCTCCTCTCGCACTGCTGAGTCTTCAGCTTGAAGTCCAGTTCTGGGGGGAAAGAAGTGGCACGAAAGGGCGTAATGATGAGTAAAGAAGTGGCACGAAAGGGCGTAATGATGAGTAAAGAAGTGATACGAAAGGGCGTAATGATGAGTAACGAAGTGATACAAAAGGGCGTAATGATGAGTAACGTGCTGCCACGATACGGCGTAGTGATCGGCGACGCCGCGACGCTCACTCAAGGGGGCCTTACCCATTTGGTATATCTCGTGGTCCTTCTGATTTATCTGGGCCTTGAGAAGGCCTATAAGCTTGAGCAGATTCTGCACTTTCAGTTTCATTTTTCCGTCCTCCGACTTGTCCGATTTCTGCGACTTCTCCGACCTTCCCTCGTGCATCTCCTCACGTGGGTTGCTGTCCGCCTCGGTGAAGTCCAAATGGGCGAGGTTCACTTGCTGGTAACTATTTTCCCACGTGTCATTACGAGGCGTGCACGAGCTGTGCTTCTCTTCCATTAAGCTTCTGTCTATGTCAGCCTCCTCCCTCACGTGCAAGGGAGATGGCCCCCTCGCCCGCAGTTCGGCAGGGCTCTCTTCGGTGGCCCAGTCTTCTGGGGTAGCCTTGTCCCCTCCACCACGGCGATCATCATCTTTGTCGTGCCTACCGAGGGTACCATCGGCAGCACGGTCCACTGGGTCATCATCAACAGGGGCATCATCAACAACCACATTACCACCTGCAATTTCTGTCCCCCTCTTGGGGTCCTCCTCTGCCATTTCGGGGAAGTACAAACCCATCATCTCGCTCTGATGCAGCGAGGACACGTCCTCCTCTGCTTCCCTTTTGAGATAGCCCTTCTCTTCTTCTTCCTCAAGGGGGGTACCACTCGTGCGAGGGTTCATTTCGCCGACGCCGTCTTCCAAATTATTCATATCTTGTGGGGGGTCATCCTTCGAGACAGGGTCACTCCTGTCACCCTCCCCTGCGCTGTGCATGGTGATGAGCACTCAGAGGGAAAAATAAAATGGCGTTCTTCCTTTCCTAACTTGGCGAAGCATTAAAGAGGGGAACAAACGAATAGGTAAACCCAGAAGTATTTTAAAAATGGGAAGAAAAGGATATGCCTTCTTGCTGTGCTTCAAAACGATCAGACAATTCTGTCTCTCGGTGAAGGGTAATAATCTGTGGAGGCTCCGCACTCCAAATGGGGCGCAAAAAGGAAGAAATAAAAACGGGGACGAAGAGATCGGAGACGAACAGATCGGAGACGAACAGATCGGGGTCAAACAAATCCTAAACAAATAAAAACATCCAGTCATCCGATCTTGTTGTTCCTCTGGCGAACATGACATCAACGCATATGCGTGTGTTTCGGTGGAAGTGTGTGGGGGGTTAACATAAAACAAACAAATTGAAGCCAAATGGAGCATGAAAGAAGGGCAATCATCACGTGGGAAGAATCTACTGTATAGGATATTTGGAGGCCTCCCCCTCTACGCACTAAAGCATAAGCATCAACTGCGCAGGTGGAAGTGGACCGTTTTGAATTCACAGGCTAAGTAGCAGGGAGGGAAAGAGTAAACACACGGGGGGGTCGTGCTAGCCTGGCCACTAGAGGCGCCTGACACGAATGAGTAGGCGACGCATACATACGTGGGTAGGTGGCGCGATACACGCGGGCAAACACACGTGCAGCTGGGGTTCACAGTTGTGAGGCGAATATGCAGATAAGTCTCCCACTGCGCAGACGAGTGGTTGGTTTAAACGTTCTACCCTGGAGTGGGCGAGCTGAGGAAGAATACTGTTTGGGCGTTTGCCCCTTTGCCCGTCTGACCGCCCCCCCGTCTTCCCTTTCCTGTTTAATGAAAGGCAGGACGGGTAGGGAGTATCACACGTCGGTGCAAAAGATTCCTGCAAAGACGGGCGAGGCTAGACCAGGGTGTGCATATAGGGGGGGTAAACGTAAACGTCAAAGCAAACGCTCATAAAGGGGGGGTACACAAAGGATTCGCAAAAAAAAGGAAAAGAAGGTTAACATGAAATAATTCGATAAAAAAAAGGAAAAAAAGGCTAATATGAAATGTTTCGCAAAAAAAAAAAAGAGGTTAACACGAAATGGTTCATCACATACGTAGGTGTGCTAACACATCTGCATACAGACGCTGGCCCAGGCGTGGCCATTCAAATGGGGTACTGATATAACCACAGGGGGAGGAAAAAGAAAAAAAAATGACGAAAAATCGCGCAATGGAGTGACTGCAAAGTGGCCAAAAAAAAAACTGTCACAAATGCCACAAACGCGACAAACGCTGCAAACGCTACAGACTCTACAAACACGGCAAACGCCGCAAACGCATGACCGACGGAACGGAAAAAAAAACAAACGAAAGTGGCGTTATGGACACGGTCCGAAGGGACGCAAAAAAATAATTAATCATTTTTATGCGGACGACCGAACTGGCGCAACCAGTAGACGCTAAGTGGACGCCAGCGAAAATGCAGGCATTCAAAATTGGAGGAAAAAAAAAGGGGCGACGGAAAATGAAGGATTCCCGGCAAACTTGGCAAGGGGGTACAACACTACCTTTCATTCGTTCCGTTCATTTGGATAAAAATGATGCCCTTTTGTTTGAATGGTTTGTTTGCTTTATTTTTTTCTGTTTCCTTTTCTGTTTCCTTTTCTGTTTTTTTTTTTTTTGTTTCTTTTTTTGTTTCTTTTTTTGTTTTTTTCTGTTTCTTTTTTTGTTTCCTTTTTTGCTTCTTTTTTGTTTTATTTCTTTTTTTTTTACGAGTTGTATTTTTTATTGAAGAGGCACGACGCGACTTAGCGCCCTCCATGCAACCATCGTAAAAATATAAATTTCATTTTGCGTTTCGTTCAGGTCAGTTTTGGCACAGTTAGGAGGAATGTCGGCATATGTTTTTTTCTCGCCTCCCAAATGATGACCATGCGCATCATATTATGTTATCTTTCCACTCGTGCTTCCCCCAAAGGGGTAAAATTAACCTGTCACGACTTCACGTGAAACCGTTTAATAAAGGAGTACATTTTGTGAGCGTTTTTTTTTTCCTTCTTTTCTTTTTTTTTACATCCCCCCTTTTAGCCACCAAACGGGTGACATTTTTTTTTTTTTTTTTTTTGCCAATTGTCTCATAAGACACTGTGGCTTGGATTGAAGTTACGACGGATGTAATTCTACCCGCGCGTAGGATTAGCGTGCCTGCATGGGGGATATGCAACCCCAATGGCGAGGAAGATTTTAACTTCCCATCGATCGGGCAGCCAAAAGAAGGGGTATATAGGGGGGCATCACCTCGTATTTTTCTTATTTTTTTTTTCCCCCTCCAACTTTGCTAACGCGTATAGGGTGCCATAAAAACGCATTTCAGGGGGTCATTTCGAATGAGAAGTGGTGAGTTCGTTTATATGCCCAAATGGGACTTTTGATCGCGGACTCTGTGGACAGATTGTCCATTCAAGGTACGCAGACAGGGCTGTGCATCGAACTACCCACGGTGAGGGATGGTGGCGCCCCCTCAGAGGCGCCCCATCCGACGGTTTCCCAAAAGAGAAACGCCAACAAACATAGTGGTACTAAAAAAGAACAAAAAAGAGGCGCTACGAACCCAGCTGTTCGTGCCGTACGAGTGGGCAATTGGGCCTATCCATTGTCTGAGGACGGCGCGCAGAGAAAAGTCCTTCGTCATCTTCGTTAACTCCGTTAGCTTCCTCAGCAGCTTCTGCTTCCTCTGCTTCTCCTCCCCTTGTGCGAATAAATCCCGCTCAACGTCTATAACGCACACTCCGCTGCACTCCTGCTGACAGTGCAGGTACTCGTCCGACCGCACGCTAAGAATATTTTCGCTAATAAACGTATTCATGTCGTCTTCAATTTCGCTCCTCTTGTAAGGACGCGGCGTGGGGATGCTCCGATGCATCAGGTAAAGGCAATGCTTCAGGTTATAATTCTGAATGATTATCTGTTTTCCAATCCGATCCGCATTCAGCAAATACTGCTGATAGAGACACTCTCTCTTCAGCTCCTTCGTGACGTATGTTTCTTCCTTTACATACCCCAGCTTCTTGTAATACTCTCTTGTCCCTACCCCTGCAATTATGCTCATTTTTTTATAGCCATAGTGGTAGGCAATCAATTCTGCAACGAGGACTAGACACTTTCCCAGTCCCTTATGCTGCACGAAGTTTAGGTCTTCCTTGAAATCGTCATGCTTTAGTAACGAGCCGTATACGTGGAGCTCTCTGATGAGGGCCGCGCCCTCCAAGCACTTAAAGGGCCTATCATCGCAGTAGTCGTTTTGATTGCGCAGTCGAAGACGCAGGAAGCCCAGCAGCGCCCGCTCGTTGTTGTCGTCTCGGGTATGGAGTGCGGTTAAGCGGTTGGAAGTGGCCTCCCCGTTGGAAGTGGTCACCCCGTTGGAAGCCGCTACCCCATTGGAAGCCATCACGCCTAAAGGGGTGGCCACCTCGGTACTCTCCCCGCCGCTCTGCGGGGGGGAAGGGCCATCCGAGTAGCCCCCCTCGGCGAACAAATTCACAGAGGAGAGCCCTATGCAATCTTCGTCAGCTCCCTCACTTTGAGGCGGCGCAGGGGGTGCCTCGACGAGATCGTTCATCCGGGTGGGGTTCCCAGGGCTTCCCTTCCTATTGTGGCTTTCCTTCCTATTGCCTCTTCCATCCCCCTGATGCTGATTCTGATGCAGCTCCCTCTTCTTGACCTTCTTCCTCTTCGCACCGGTGGGCGCTCCCTTTCGAGCCTTCTTCACCCCTTGAAAGGTGAGGAAGAACTCCTCCCCCCCTAGAGTCGAGTACTGATATATTTGCAGAAAAACTGAGCCCTCTTTCTTTTCAATTTCTTGGTTCTTCACTTCCTTGCATCGGATGCACTGGCAAAAAATGGATCGAATATTCAGTTCGTTGGCGATGAGTTGCCTCATGTTTGTTATATTATTTCCGGCAATGATGGAGGGGTTAGGAATATCCCGTATGACTCTGTTCAGGCGAATCCAAGGATGGATAGACTTCTTCACAAGAAAGATTAAGCAGATGAGGAGATTCTTGTCCGTTTCGAAATAAGGTTTAAATTCGTTATTGTTGTACCACTTCTCAATCCTCGTAAAAGGAGTAATTTCGCAAGGGTAGATTTTCCACTGATCGGCTTGCAAATCAGTGGAGCTGAGGACGTATTTAAACATCTCCACGTCTTTCTTCACATCTGAGTAAGGCAAATCAGGCATGAGGTGGATATCGACTTTGAATCCGTTTTCCTTGAGAAGATAGATAGCTCTGATACAATCCTGTAGAGTGCATTGTCTATTGACCTTCTTTAAAATAAAGTCATCTGTGTGCTGTATACCCAACTGTACTCTCGTGCATCCATACGATCGTAATCGAATCAACTCATCTTTATTTATCTGATCCGGTCTCGTCTCTAAAGTTAATCCAATAATGCGACAGCTGCTTGTCTCGTTAATCTCTTGCTCTTTCTCTAGGCTGAATTTTTTTCTTCTATTTTTTAAAACGGGGTATATATTCGCTGCGTAGTACACGTCCCTTATGAATTCCCTCTGGTATGCGACATCATAGCAACTCCACGTGCCTCCCAGGACAAGCACTTCAATCTTGTCTGCCACATGTCCGTTATTAACTAGTGTGGTGGTTCGATTGAAAAATTGACAAATCACGTCGAAGTTGTTCTGGTTTGCTCTCAAAATTGCTGGTTCGGTAGAGAGGTAAGATCTGGGCTGATTGGGTTCATTCGGGCAATAGTGGCAATCGTACTTGCAGCTGAATTTGTGGGGGTGTGTAATGATCGTTACGACTAGAACGCCGCTGTTCGATCGCACGCCCTTTCGTTTATTTATTTGCAAAAAGTGGACGCTATCCTTGTCCAAATCCTTGTAGTTTTTTATTTCTGTCGTGACGATCATGTTGCTAACATTTTCTAGGACGAACTTGACGTCCTTCCCTTTTTTGTTCACCTCGATCTTGTCCTCCTCGTCGGCGTTAACCGGGTTGTTCGGCTCCTTTTCCCTCTGCTGGGTCATGTCTTCACACCGTTGGTGGGCCTTCCCTTTTGCCTCCTCCTTGGGGGGTACGTCCTCCCCGCATTCCGACAATCCCCTCCCGGAGAGTATCTCCCCCTGTAGGAAGTCCATCTGGTGGTCATCTGGTCTTCCATTAGTGGTGTTCCCTTGATCATGCTGCTCATCCTCCTGCTTCTCTTCCTCCTCCTCCTCCTCGTTGGTGCTTCCATCTGCACCCGCGTTGAACTCGTTCGACACGTCGGACGTGTGAGAAGTGGAGGAAGCATTGTTGGGCTCCTCCGTAGGGGAAGATAGGAGGCTGTCCTTCCCCTCCTTGGAGTTACGCGCCGCCTGCAAATAATGATGCTGCAGGGCTACGCTAATCTGGTGCTTGGATGGACTCACTTTATATTTTTTCCGTAACTGGATGCACAAATTGTGGTACTCCGTTTCATTCTTTATCTCCTTCCTCTTGGACCACAGCTCGAATGCAAACTTCTTGAAGCTCTCATTCTTCAAAATGTCCTCGTAGTACTTGTCGTTGTATTTGTAAAAAAATTCGTTCATGGTGGAGGAGTAGCATTCGTAGTGTCTAAGTTCGTTTTGGTTTTTTATTTTTTTCTTGAAATTGTCGAAATTGCTTGGCTCGTAGCAATACACCTTTGGGTAAATTTTGTTCTCCTCATACTCCAGGGGGTAGTTGTGCTTGATTGCGTCGTTTATGTAGAAGTAGTCTCCCTGAGAGGGGGAGATACTACTACTACGTCTACTACTCTCGGCGGAGGTCCCTCCTTCCTGGTCGCCTTCATCATCGCTCGCTTCGCACAGAATTTCGTCCACCTTCTCATCGGGCAGTCGTCCGGGGTGGGGGGGCACTCCCTCGAACACCCCTTCGGGGACAGCTTTCCTCGCGGCAGGTTCCATCTCGCACTGCCCCTCCCCCATTGGTTTTCTCTCTCTATCTTTATCTCCTCCTTCACTTTTTTTAGGTTTTTGTTTCCCCTTTTTACTTCTCCCAGACAAGGAAGGGCCGCGTACATCCATATGCCTCTCTCTCACGATTGCAAAGAGTTAATCGCAGCTGCCCCCCCGTTCGGAAACGCCGCTCCTGCGCTGAAAATTCCCCCAAGTGTGGCGTCTCTACCAGGTGGGGCCTTCCCCAACTTTCAAAATAAAAGGGGTGAAAAAAAGGGGGAAAAAAAGGGAAAAAGAAAGCGAAAAAGAAAGTGAAGAAAACTTGAAAAAAGGAGTCAGAAGGAGTAAAAAAAAAACAATTCAACGGGCGCTCTTCAGCAACCCCGCAAAGATGACTAATCATAAAAGTTGCATCTACTTTAAGCAACACATGAGGGGGAGAAAAAAAAATACAAAATGGTACATATATATAACTTATCCCTCATTTGGATTAATTTTCCCCCTGGGTAGGCAAAGAAAAAAAAGAAAAACATAGTGACGTTAACTGCTACAAAATGCCGCAAATGCGCACCGCGTCGTTGCCGCTTTGAAGCATCCTCCCTCGAGCAGAACGTTGACGCGTTTGCGCTGTAAAATTCTTTACTTATTACCTGTGCGTCCGTCGCCGTGGCTGCAATTACAGGGAGGTTATTTTTTCTCTCTAGGCAGCAAGGCCCGTGGAACACTCTCGCCCGAGTAAAGACATACATATCCCGTATAAACCTACATATGCATGTCCCTTCGGTATGCATTTTTTTTTTCCTCCCATTTTGTTTTCCCCCAAAGGGGGGGAGTAGAATAATTTCCGTGTTCAATTTAGCTGCTTTCCCAAGTGAAAACTTTTTTGGAAAAAAAATGGAGACGGAAAAGGCGGCAGGGGAGAGGAGTAGCTTTGAATGACAGAACGGACCTGACCCGTTCATAGTTTTTTCCCAAAACGGGAAAAAAAAAAAAAAAAAAAAGTCAAAAGGTGCGTCAGAAGGTACACAAAAAAGTGCCCACAAAAGTGCCCCAAAGCGCCCCAAAGCAAAGTCACAAATCTTAAGTGAACACTCGAGCGGATGAGGGGCAACCACCGCGTGTGTTGATGTGCTTGTTTCCCCTTCTTGAGAATTCCCTTCGCGTGCGCCCACTGACTGCCCCCTCTACATATGCTCGTATCCGGGGGCGTCCGATGGAGAGGCCACAAACTGAAGGGCAGCTTACACAGCTGGGGAGGACAATTGCACAGACACATCAGTGACAACATAACCAAAGAAGTAATAACGCACAGTTATGATAGGAAAAAATATGAACAGAACGTGCAAATGTACGACACGTGCAAAAGCTATGTGGACTCGAAACAGAAGATCTTTTACGATTACGTTAAGGCGGAAAGACCCATGCTGCTACCCACCATAAGAGGGGGGCAGTATTCTCCCCCTCGAAAGAAGAACAATGATGATGAGGTGGAACTGGCTGGTTGCACAGAAAGGGGAGGCAACAACGACCAAACGGAACGGTACAACTACCCAACGGAACGGAACATCAACCCAACGGAACGGAACATCGACCCAACGGGGAGTGAACAGGTAAAGGTAAAATATCTGTGTGAGTATAAAAAGTGGAGTAAGCTCATAAGCAAAAGGGGAAGCAATCGTGCGGTCAAGGATGAAGCAGAAGGGGAGATCCCTATGCTTGCCGCGAACAAAGAAGCGGAAAAGGCGGAGGAAAAGCACCCACATAAGACAGCCCCAAAATTTAGCGACGAAAAGAAGAACCACATCAGTAATGACCTAATGCACATAAGTATCGACAACAGTAAGTTCTTCTGCCCAAATAAGAAGACGGAAGGATCCCTTGAAATGAAGATAACCCAGTACTGCTGGCAGGAAGGGCTATGCAGCTCCAGATTTGCATTCAACAATTTAAGGAGAGGCATTATCCAAGTCAATAATCAGGTAGTCTTTGAAAATGTTGTCATCTCCCCGGGGAAGGACAAAGTGGAGTTAACCAAAGTAGGCAAACATCTCCTCAGGAACAAAAACATAACCATCATTTTGAATAAGCCAAAATATTACCTCTCCATTTTGAACGATCACAAGACAGACAAAAAACTGCTCGCAAGAAATTTAATAAGAAATGAAAATAAGTTCATTGAGGAGGAACACAAATGTATGAGTTATTTTATCAACAAAAATGTGAACATTGAGAAGGTCAATAAGTTATATGTGTGTGGAAGGTTGGACGCCAATTCCACAGGCCTGCTGGTTTTTACGCAGAATACGCTCATCTCAAGTTATCTGCTAAACAAGCACAAATACCAAGTGGAGAAGGAATACATTATCAGGACAGCCGACCCGATAGGAGAAGATCATATGGAACTCTTACGAAGAAATGCCCTTGTTGATGGTAAGCTGATATATAAATGCCGCATACAGTATGTGGACTGCTTTACGCTGTCCTTTACACTTTACCAGGGCTTCCACAAAATTATTAGGAAACTGTGCCTCCTTTCAAACATCAAAATTAGGGCCCTGCACAGGGTCAGGATAGGCGGCATTCACCTGAAAGGTTTGCCCCTTGGAAAGTGGCGCTTCCTCATGCCCAACGAGTCTTTTTTTTTGTAAAAAATGGGGGAAAGAAGCTCCACTGGGGAGAAAGAAGCTCCAGTGGGGGCGCTGGACACCTTCTCGAAGTGGACAACAAATGGAGGAACTTTCTCCAACAAGGATATCCCTCCCCTTTGCAGGATAAGTTTTCCCTTTGTTTTTCCCGCTGGAGGCTCAGTGACGCGCTTAGTGTTGCTCGCTTTTACCCCCAGTGGAAAGTGTTTCCGCCAAATGGGTGACATGAACGGTATTCTTTCTTTACCGCTTCGCCTGAGAAGTATTTTTTTCTTCCCACCGCTTGCACCTCATTGTGGAGTTCTTTTTCCCCATCTTGGCTGTTTTTTTTTTTTTTTTTTTACCGACGTTTTAGTTGTTGACCCGTTTAGGCACTTTTTAACATTTCTCCTGTTTGGGCATGCCCCCCAGGAAGGCGCTTCCTCGTGAGTGGGATTTTTTTATATAGTTCTCCCTTTTTGCGAAAAACGCTGAGATAATCCCGTAGGAGGAATAGAACCTCCCCCGAACCCCTCGCGACAGGTACAAACGTAAAGAAGAAGTACACGTTTGTAGAGGGGGCACCGTTTATTCTCGTAAGTGCAGCTTCCTATCCTACCATGTGGGTCCGCTCCCTCCATAGACACACCCTCATCCAAAAGGACGTCCTACCAATGTGATCATGTTCAACGTATACACTCGAGGATTCTCCAAGAAGGCCGGTTGGTCGTGGATAAAAAACAGGAGGGGAAGGAAAAAAATAATTTCATTTGAATACCCACCGAAGGAAAGAAGCAGCATCGTGAAGCTGACAGACCAAAGTGACAAACTAGTGTTCGTATGTAACGGGAAATTAAGGGACACCTTCATGACAACGGTGAAAAGTATGAAAGAAACAAAATGTGTCGTGAAGAACGACACCATTTGGACACCCTGTTTGGTTGTGTCAAAGGCCAAGTGTCACACCCTACTGGAGAGCTTCACCTACGATGAGATTCTGCACTTGGAAAAATTAGCACCCCGTATTTTGCAAGCGTTTGAAGAGGCACAAGGTAGATTACATCAAGATGAACAGAACAGAGTGCTCAGTAAGCACGAAGCAGTGAAGTTTAGATTGCTGGAGTAGTATCACCCTGGAGGGCACCGTGGCGAGGGGGGGGTTATACTTACACACGTTTATGTCAAGAGAGGGCATGAACAGGGAGATTCCTGCACCAGGTGGGTAATGACACAGTTAGCTAAACGGAAAAAAAAAAAAAAAAAAAAAAAAAAATACCACACTTGTCAAGACAGTCCTGCCTTCTTAACCTTTCCACTGGAACAAATTGGTAAAGCTTGCTTACGCCGGATGCACATCATTTGTGATGCTGGTCCATTTCCATGTTAGGGAGACTCCGTTTTTGAATTTTCTCCAGGGAAGGAATGGCATTCATGACGGAGGAGGAGTACTTGGTTTCTTTCGCCTGGAGCAGGAAATCACCTTTCGCTTCCCTGGACAGGGCCAAGGAAGAATTGGGTGCGCGCCTGCGCCTGTTTCCATAAATTGGGTACTCCTTTTTGAAGAAGGACGACGTGGAAGAAGTGGACGACGCGGAAGAATTGGACGATGCGGAAGACGAACGCGGTGGTAACAACGAACGGCAATCCAGGGAAGGGACATCCCCCTCGCTGATAGGGTCCCCTTCAAAAATTTTATTTCCTTTATAATTTTTCTTCGTCATTTTGATATGCAATTCCCCAGTGTATTTTTTTCTCGATATTTTAGTGAGGTCTGTTAAAATGGCATCGCTCAGTTTGACTTGGAACAGCTTCTCCTTTATTACGCACCGGACGTAGTTAACATTTACGTCCACCTGGATAAGTGAGTTACAGAGGTACTTCGGAAGGAAGAGCTTCAGAAAGGTGTGCTTGTTGCTGGAGTACTCGTCGAAAAGGAACTTGTAGTGGCCTGCGTAGTGAAGCGGCGTAGGGAAGCGGTGTAGCGAAGCGGCCTAGCGAAGGGGTGTATTAGCGTAGTAGAGGGGCAGATCCTTTAGCGATGCATTAGGGTACACGCAACACATCGCTTAGCGCCACGAGCCCACCTTCGTTGCACTGGCGAATCTCCCCGTCGTCAGTATACACAGGCGGCACTTCCCTCTTGGCCCTCTCCTTCGACTCATCCCTCTGTCCGTTCTGAACTTCTTCCCGTTCTATCTCTTCGTAAATCTCCTTTCTCTGATTTATACTGTCATAGTGCTCACTCTGTCCAAGCCCCTTCTCTTTCTGTTTCTTCCATTCGTCTTGTAAAGAGTTCCAAACGGTTTCCCTTTTCTGTCTTGCGATTATCCTATCTGACGTGAGAATGTCCGATCCGTCTAAAACTTCCAGCTGACCCAGGTGTAGAATCACGAACAGTTTTAAATGTTTCCACTTAGCACAGGGATTTCCCATGAGGTACAGCTCCTTCAAATTTTCATTCTTCTTCAAGTTCGTTACAGATGCTTCGATGGTTGATACGTCGATGAAGTTTAGGGTCAAGTCCAGCTGAGAGGGGGGAAAAAAAAAAGCAGTTGCCTGTGTTCATATAATTTAACTTTGCTGGGAGGTCTTCTCTGTACGACTGTCCTCTGTTGTAGACATTCCCTACCTTACGCAGTGACTCGCACCCGTGCAGGTTCTCCACCAGCGTGATGTTGTTCAGGGCGAGGTTCAGATACTCTAGCTTCTTCAGCTGATTTAGGTTCTCTATCTTCTCAATCAGATTATTCTGGAGCAACAGTATTTTTAAGTTTCTACAATGGGTGTTGACGAATTCGATTTTTTTAATTTGAAGTTGGTGCAGGGCGACTTCCTCCAGCTCCTCGAGCAGCCCCTCGTTGTGCTCGCTCTTGCGTTTAATTAGCTCCAAGTCGATCTTCATTTTGGGTAGGTGTCCTTTTGGGGGGGCCTCCCACTCGCAGGGATGCAGATGTGCAGCTATGTAGGGATGTATGCAGACATGTATGTGTTTCTTTTTTTTTGTTTTTTCTCTTTTTTTCTTATTTTTTTCGTCTTTTCTTTTTTCTCACCTGATATGCTCCCAACCCCCTGAAAAGGTGTAAATTTTCCCGACGTGGCCGCCTTTTCTTTTTTTTTTTTTTTCTCTTTTCTCCCGCCGGGGGCAGCCCCAAACGGCACCGCCACCCCGATTGGAGGTAAACAAAGGCGTATACAAATGAGCGTTTTTTTTTCTCTTCTTTTCTTCATTTTGCTTGCCCCCTTTTGGAGCGTTTCAATACGATGCGGTGGATCAAAAAAAATGAGAAAAGTGAGAAAAATTAAAAAAGTGGAAAAAAATGAAAAGAATGACAAAATGAAAACGGGGAGACCACAAAACAGAGTAGCCTTTTTCGTGGGAGGGATGCCCAACTGGTGCTTCGCGCGAGGAACACCAAAAGAGCCACATATGTAGATTGCATCCACGCCGCTTCAACAGGAACTAACTTGCAGGACGTAGGGGCCCCCTCCATCGCGCTCGAGATAGCTTTGGTGGCCGGCCTTCCTTGCCCCACCGGGAGAAGAAGGCACCAACGGAAGCCACACCCCAAATGATAAGACGAGGAAGGAACGTGGCTACAGCTATAAGCCCCCTTTTCAGCACGAGTAGGAAGGTCCAAACGTCCGTGGGGAGGACCCCCGGGAAGAAGCACTCGCCGGACCATTACGATGGTTTGAGCTACCGTCACCATGGCTTGAGCTGCCTAAACGATGACTGGAGCTACCATCAGGACGACCTAAGCTTCCTAAACGATGACATCAAACACAATCTGTTCAGGCTAAAATGTATCGAGCAGAAAAAAATAAAAACGGACCGCATTGTGTATAAAAAAATATTAAAGGACCTTTTGAAAAAAAAGGACAGCTTCGTGGCCAGCGACATGGTAGAGTTCTTCTACATACTTATCTTTAATGATTTGTACCACCTGGACATATGCTCCAATTTTTTTCTTCATTTTTATCAGCGGTGTGTGTACTCCAGGAGGTACCTGGAGGGCGTGCACGTGAATAGTGTCGTCCACCTGATCTTCGCGTTTTACGTGTTTGAAGGGTATGGCTTTTTTTCGGGAGCAGCCAATCGGGGCGTCCCGAATTTGGGGGGCGTCACTCCAGGAGTCAATTCGGGAGCCAATTCGGGAGCCAGTTCGGGAGCCAGTTCGGGGGCCACTTCGGAAGCCAACACAGATGCCTCTACCAAACGGTACCGCGAGTACCACCGTAACGAAGCGCACATGAGCTTCCATCTTTACACCCACCTCGCACCATATATTCACACAAACAAGGAGCACATAAACAAAAGTCATCTGATAAAGATGTTGCTAGTCCTTTCTCAGTTCACGTCCAACTGGGCCGCCACGGCATTAATGCCAACTGCAGACACGGAAGCGGCAGAACAGAGAAGCGCCATGAAACACGTGGGGATAAATTTATTCCCCCTCATCGAATCCTTCGCAGAAAAAATTGACATAGCGAAAGATATAAAAAAGGTCTACTCACCAGAAGTGATAAATGAAAAAGAAATGAAAAAAAAAAAAGGAAGATACTTACACATGATTGATAACTCGAGTAAAAATTTTATCTACATTGACAACGAATCAAATGACAACAAATTGATATGTCTCTTTTTTTTCATCTTGTCAAAGTTGTTTTTTCCCGTTTGTTCGAACTTTCTGTTACACACGGAAGGCACTGTGGAAGGGAGTCCCCCTACGGGTGAACAGTCCCCTAAGCAGCCCTCCCAAGAGGAAACGCTCATGTGTGAAAAAAAAAGCGGCGATAGTACGATGGAAGAAGATACTCTTTTTTGCACAGATGGGAAGACAACCCACAGGAGTTGCGAAAAATTAAAATTTACTCTCGTGGACATGTTTATGAGCCATTACAGGCAAGTCGAAATGCGCAATCATGTTTTTTATCGAAACGTGGACACACAGAGGAGCGGCGTGGAAAACTACGAAACGTATAAGAACAATATTTTGAGGGCCATGCGGAAATATGTCTTCCTTGATGATATTTACAGCTTGGGGGTGTACTACAAGATGGTGTTTTTCAAGGCCATTTACTCGCTTCATTTTTTTCAGTTCTCGTTCTTGCGCCACTTGTACGAGATTCACTCGTACGCGATCAGCAGCGACGTGGACCATTTGGACTACAGCGAGCGGTTGCATTTTAGCGGCGAGTACAGCGACGAGGTGGACGGGGAGATGGCCGAGCTGGACCGGGAGAGGGCCAAACCGCGTCACCCAGAAAAAACGTGCGCGCAGAAGCACCCCCAAAAGAGATGCGACGAACGGGCAAAAAACAAAATCGTGGAGCTCGCAAAAAGAGGGGACGTTTTCAACAATGCGTACGTAAACCTACTGAACAATATTGAAAGCGACATAAGAAATTGCTCCCCAGAGGAAGCATTAAACACACTGCTGCAATTGCACCTGCTAAGATCTCTAGACAACCACTTCGTGCTACCACTCATTTCGAAGCTCTGCAACAGCACTGACAAGCTCCGAAATGAACACAAAAAAAAAATGAACGTAATTATCCTATCTCTGCTATCTTTCCTTTCGCCCCATATTGCTTCCATCGAGTCAATCCAAAAAGGGCCGCTTCGCGACGTGAACGTATTTAATCACGCGTACTGCAACAATGATGTTTATGTGGGCCACCTGCAGAGGCTGCGAGACTTTGTGCAACTCCTACATAATAAACAGATTTTTAAGAGGAAGAGGAAGGAGTTGCTCTCTTGGTCAAACTACAAGTGTGTGTAGGTGAGCGGAGAAACTAGAACAGGGTGCAAATGTAGAAAAGGCTAGCCGTGTGCACGTCCACCATTGGGATGCCCATTGCCTGGTTGTTTCGGCGCCCGGGTCGCAATGTGGGACACAAAAACTGGATCATACAATGAGACCGCAAAACTGGACGGTAAAACTCTACCCCAGTTTGTACACCCCCTCGCGGGACAGTTCGAGCACGCTGCGTTTTGGCCCCCGTGAAAAAGTGGCAACTTTATTACATTTTTTAGCTTGCCCCATTCAAAAAGCTTTTTTTTTTTTTTATGATTCACCATTTTGATCGACTTTCACCTTAACGGTTAATTATTTTTCCGTAAAAGTTCTCATTTTTAACTCCTTTTTTGGCTTTATACCTTCCCTGTTCATACTTTTTCCCCTCTTTTTCGTTCTCTTTTTTTTTTTTTCTTCCTACACACATATGTGCAAAAAAATTAGACATAAAAAAAAAAAAAAAAAAAAGCTAAGCAGAGCAAAGCCAAGCAAAACAACGCAAAATTCGCTTAGCGCAGAAAGGACTTACTTGAATGAGTTCCCTCGGAAGTTACGCAGCACTTGGTCGAAACGCGGGAAAAAATGGAAAAAACAAGGGAATGGATTAAGCGCATTTAGCATAATTAGGTTGGTCTCCTTTTTTCGCTTGCTTTGCGCACTGCGCATGGATGACGCGTCTGGCTTATCTGTGTCGAAATCACCAAAAGGGAGAGAAACCCCGTAGGACAGCGCTTTCCGCAGTTATATCCCCCCTCTGTTGGTTTCAGTTTTCTCCACCTTTGGTTCGTGACGATATCTTTTGCGAAGAGAGTAAATAGATGACAACTTTTGTTTTTTTTTTTTTTTTTCTTTTTGGCTACACCGTTTGCTTTTAGTTTTACTTTTACGGTTACACATTTTGAATTGGTCCAAGTGCCTAGAAAAATGCTCCGTGTAAAGAACGGCACATATACCATACATGCATCACCGCATACATCCATTAACGTATACCCGCATAAGCGTGCATGTGTTTACACGCATGCATGCATACACTCTTACATACGCGAGATGTGACGCGGAAAATAGGTAAAAGCCATTTGGAACGCCTCCTGAATTTTATGCATCTTCCCCGCGCGTTCGCATTCTTCATTTTGCGAACAAGTGGCAGCATATCGTCTTGGCCCCACCAGTAGCAGACTCGGCTTGTGACGAACGAAGCATTTCGCGCGTCACTTAGGGGAAGGTAACCCCATTCGATCACAGAGCAGCTAGCGCATCGGATCGTGAGTTGCCACCGCTCACCGTTGAGCGTGGTGTAACTGTGTTCCTCCTGTGCAGTGCGATAGCCCAGGTGGCGTTACGTGGCATCACGTCAAATCGAGTCATGTCGGGTCAGGTTGCGTCAAATGGGATCGCATCGGTTCACTTCATGTAATCGATTCTTTTTCCCGCGCGAGAGGCAGCACATCATTTCAGCGAGTGCACGCGCGAGACCGCACAAGGAGGCGTGAAAATAAAATGACACCAGGAAATACCAATTGGAGTGGCAACCACCGCTTGAGACCAGTCAATTGAGCTAGCCGACGACTGGAGGAGCGTCCCAAGTGGGTGTGCGCATGTACGTTTTCGTGTGTGTGAATGTACTTCCGTTTGCGCGTGGTTTCATACATAACTTGGGGAGCCAGCTGAACGGCGCTGGTAGCCATGATAAGCGCCCTGCCACTCGTCGGGATAAAGCGACGCGAGTCGGTGGCTAGTACGGGTTTGCGCAGGGAGAAGGGGTCCAAATGGTTGAGAGGCGTAGGAGATTAGTCTCAGCTGCGTAGCATCGTACTAATCGTGCAGCATATACTATAGCCGCTGGCTTCGCTTCCGACGTAGCCAACTCACGTATGTGTACACATTCACGTAATTACTTACACAACATCATTAAGGTGTAAGCTCCTTGGAGATTTCTCCACTGACGTACCCCCCCTCCGTCGAAGTAGATAAGTGCCTCCTTTGGTTACCATTCCTGTCCGTCAACGGGAATAACCTTGTCTTTTAAACAGCGAAGAAATCACTCCTTGTTCTCCCCACTGCGACGAAACGCGTTAGGGTAACTATCCATGCAGAAGAAAACTGCGTGGGGTTCAATGCACAGGAACGGGCAAAGTAACACCCAAAGGCACACGCACACATATACATACAGAAGCACACTGACGTAGAATAAGAAGAGGGTCGATAACCATGCCTAGCAAGTACGACGATGGAGAAAGCCGCCTAAACGAGTATGAAGTAATTAAAAAGATCGGAAATGGAAGATTTGGTGAGGTATTCCTTGTAAAGCATAAAAGGACACAAGAGTTCTTCTGCTGGAAGGCTATATCTTATAGGGGCTTGAAAGAAAGAGAAAAGTCTCAACTAGTAATCGAAGTAAATGTGATGAGAGAACTAAAGCACAAGAACATTGTTCGGTACATAGATCGCTTCCTGAATAAAGCCAATCAGAAGTTATATATCCTGATGGAGTTCTGTGACGCAGGGGATCTGTCAAGGAACATACAGAAATGCTACAAGATGTTTGGCAAAATAGAAGAGCATGCAATTGTAGATATTACGAGGCAGTTACTACATGCATTAGCTTATTGTCATAATTTGAAGGATGGACCAAATGGAGAGAGAGTGTTGCATCGAGATTTGAAGCCACAAAATATATTTTTATCAACTGGGATTCGCCACATAGGGAAGATAACCGCTCAAGCGAACAATCTAAATGGAAGACCTATCGCCAAGATAGGAGATTTTGGACTTAGTAAAAATATCGGCATAGAAAGTATGGCGCACTCCTGTGTTGGTACCCCGTACTACTGGTCTCCTGAATTGCTATTGCATGAAACGAAGAGCTATGATGACAAGAGTGACATGTGGGCTCTTGGTTGCATCATCTATGAACTCTGCTCGGGCAAGACTCCATTTCATAAGGCGAACAATTTTTCGCAACTCATTTCTGAACTGAAGAGAGGACCTGAATTGCCAATTAAAGGGAAGTCAAAGGATCTAAACATGTTGATAAGGAATCTGCTGAGCTTGTCTGCGAAAGAACGACCCAGCGCTCTGCAATGCCTGGGGTATCAGATCATTAAGAATGTGGGTCTTCCTGGGGGAGGGGCGGTGAGTGTGCCTACCACTCTCGGTGCTGTCGTCACGAGGAGGAATCCATCCAAGGAGCATGGCGGTATGCAGCTAGCCACCATGGAAAATGGAGAAGTAGGCAATGCAGGCAATGCAGCCAGTGCAGTCAATAGAGCCAATGCTCCCAATGCAGACATTTCACAGAATGTCCTGCTCAACCAAAGGAACGACGAACAACGCGGAAGCAGAAGCTCCAGCTGCGTCAGCAGACAGAGCGCCAACAATGTTACGAGTAAGGATGATAGGAAGTACCCCCGTGATGGAGCTACTACCTACCATGCGGTTAATGGGCACTACGGCGGTCTGGTTGATAAGGGCCACGCGGAGAGGACCCGCATCGAAAAGGAGAACGCGCATCGAAAGGCGCTGGAGATGAAGATCCTGGAGAAGAAGCGAATCGAGCGGCTAGAACGAGAGCGAGTGGAACGGCTAGAACGGGAGAGAGCTGAGCGACTAGAACGAGAGCGAGTTGAGCGGCTAGAACGGGAGCGAGTTGAGCGGCTAGAACGGGAGCGAGTTGAGCGGCTGGAACGGGAGAGAGCTGAGCGACTGGAACGGGAGCGAATGGACCGCCTCGAACGAGACCGATTGGAGAAGGCGCGGCGAAACTCGTACTTTCTCAAAGACATGGAGAATCGGCCCAGCGGAGGAGGCGGGCCATCCGACGGGCCCAGCGTGGGGGCCAGCGACGGCAGGAGTCACAGCGGTGTGCGCAGCAGTGTGCACAGCAGCATACAGAGCAGTGCGAGAGGTGGCGTACACGAGAGCGTACGAAGCGGCGTGCAAGACAGCATACGAAGCGTCGTGCATGACAGTGTGAGAAGTGGGGTACACGAGAGCATACGAAGCGGTATGCCTGACCATGTGCGCAAGAGCACGACCAGTGCTGCGAAGGTCGAAGGGATGGGGAACGGGAGAGCTCGGCCGCCAAGCCAAGGCACTCACGGCGGAAGCTTCTCCAAAGGGAAGGACACAAGTGACCCGGTAAGTAACTACAAGCCATACATATATGACAGTAGAAAAGGAAAGAACTACCACGAGACCTTTGATAGGAGCGACTTGCATGGCTACATGAAGAATAGCTCCATAACCACGACGATACCCTCAAGTCATATTATGCAGATACAAGGAAACACAGCAATGAATGTGAATTCTAAGTATCTGGGGGGAGGGGGATATGGAGGGTATAGCAATCATAGCAGCACTGGTCAGTATATTACCAACTCGATGGAGAGTCAAAAGTATCGGGACCATCACAAGTACAGTGTTGGGTTAGCCAAGAATCCAAAGGAGATATACAAAGAGACGGGGAATTCGATTTGTTCCACGGAGTCGAAATACGAACGGGTGTATAATCATAGTAACAGGGGGGGGAGAAGTGGTGATGGGGGAAGAAGCGGTGACGGAGCAAGAAGCAATGATCATGGTCGAAGCAGTGATCATGGTCGAAGCAGTGATCGTGGTCGAAGCGGTGACGGGAGGAGAAGCGATAATGGGGGTCGAAGCGACGACCGGGACGGCGGGACCTGCAAGAGCAACAGGGTGTCTAACATCTACTTCAATGACAACGCCAGGAGGAGCGTCAGCGCCCTGCCACACATGAATGCAATAGACGAGAAAAGAGCTGTCATGTATAATAACACCTTCGATGAGGGTACCCTTAGTAAGAAGAGTACCCAAGTAGATCGGAGTTACAAACACCTAGAGAAGGATAGGGAATATCTTCTGGAGAAACGCAAGATGCTTGTGGAGAAGGAGAAGGGCATCTACGACCGAATGCGCCACGGAAACGACTACGCGTATGCGGCTGTGCGGGGATTCGACCGGTAAATAAGAGTGGAGGTGTGCTGGGGGTGTGCTGGGGGTGTGCTTTATGTAGGCACTGGTGTGGGTTGCTGTATGTACTTCTTAACCGACTTCATATCCCACTTCTGAACCCACTTCTGAACCCGCTTCGTGCAACTGTCTACCCCCCCGCGCAGAGGCGAAGACAAGAAGCCAAACGAGCTGGATAGGCGAAACAGAAGCCTCTCCATGTGCATGAACGAGCAAGAGAAGCGAAGGGACTCCTCCACGTACAACGTGAAGAGGGAGTACCACGAGGAGCAGGAGCGGGGAGAACCGAGCAGCAGCTACACCGTGCAGAAGAGAAACATGTACGCCTTGAAGAACTTCACGCACAACGGTTCGGACGCATACAAGTGCAGGTAGTAGAAGTGCAGAAGCTTCTCCGGAGTTATTGCTCCCCTGGCATGTTTTAACCTATCAATAGTGGTACTTCCCCCCTCTTTTTTGCATTTTATGCATTTTTTGGATTTTTTTTTTTTTTTTGTCACTTATTCCCCCTCGATACACACACACTTCCCCTGTCAACGTTGTTTCATGGTTTTTCCCCTGACGAAACAAGTTTCGCTTTTTTGGCCTACACCCTATGCATCCGTATACCACTTCGTTATGTATTTTATTTTTTTCTTTTTTTTGGTTCGATGACGCACCTTCGTCTGTCATGTGTGTGTGTCCCCACAATGTGATTCGTTTTTTTTTTTTTATTTTTTTTTCCCCCTCCTCCTGCTTTCATTGTCGTCATTTCAGTTACGCTGCGCATATCTGCCGTTTGGTGGGACGCGTTGTGCTGCCTCGTCGGCGTCTATGCATGATGCCCCCAATTTATTGGCCACCTTTTTATTTCCACTGTGCGACGTGCACCATATGACAGATGCGCACATTACATTTTTGAAGAAGGCTGCTGTTTGAGGGAGGGGGAAAGACACGCGATGGAGAAGATGGAACAGATGGATCGGGTGGATCGGCTGGAGCAGCTGGAGCAGCTTGAGGTGTGTCTCCCTGAGTTGAAACACATTCTCACAATAGGCCTACAGTTTTAGAAGCACCAACTCGGAGGAGGATGTAGGCGTTCATATACACATATAGATATGTTTTCCCTCCCCCCATCGGTTGTGCATGCTAATGCTCATCCTAACCCGCATCCGATTCCGCATCCTCACCCAGATTGGCACTCTCTTTCATTCCACTTTGTTTCAGTTCTTCTTCAAAATAAATTGTTGTGAATGAGAAAAAAAAAAAGTGCTCCCCTGTTTATATCTCCCATAGTTTATTCTCCGACTTTAGTCTCTCCAATAATTTTGCCCCATGAGTCCCTGTTTTGCTTCTTCACCTCATGTTAAAATAAAAATGATTTTGAATGAACGCAGCTGCGTAGCATGGATGGGATGAGCGGACTTCTCTGTAGGTTGGTTGCCTGCTCTTTTCATCTGCTTTGCATCGTTGCGCTGCGTTTTTTTTTTTTTTTCCCCTCCAACGCTTTACATAGCGCAGGGGTAGCAACTTCTTGGACCTTCTGCTGCCTTTCATATGTAACATCGACAGCGTGTTGGAGTGAGTTGCCGCCTTCCTCTTCGGTCCCGTAACAGTTTGAAGAACAAGAAAAATAAAAAAAAAAAAAAAGAAAAAAAAAAACTTCTTGACCTTTTCCATGCCTCTACATATCCTCATTTTCTTGCTCCGCTTGGCATTTTAAAAAGATCCTCTTTTTTGATTTATTCTTCTAACATCGCTGGCTCTGTGGTTTACTTAGAGCGGTAAAGATATCCCACTACCGGTGAGTACGTCCCACGGGTAAGTTTTCGCTCTATGGCTGAGTCCGCACTTCCGGTCAGTACCTCTTTTTTTTACGCGTGTCAGGTTGTATGCCTGGCCGTGCGTTAGTTTACTCTCTTCCGAGGTGGCTTCCCATTTTAGGAGTTTGCCGCAGGGGGTGCCAAAGCGTGTACATATATACATGCAGGTGGGAACCCCAATTGGGTGCAGCGAAATAGCGATGTAGATGTGCGTACCGGTGTAGACGTAGAAACGTATAAGCGTATAAACTAATCAGAGCGGAAGGATCTATATGTGGATGGACGTGGAAACGCGAGCGTCCTGGCAAAGACTGCCCTGTCATTCGCAACATTGCGAGGTGGTTTGTACGCCCCCGTAGGAACGTCTCGGCTAGGCGCTCCCGTTTGTAGGCTTCCTTCTTTTTCCCCTTTGGGCTACGCCTCGCCCCGCTTCTAAAGAAAATTCACAAGACGGATAACTTTGATGGAGACGCTCCTAAAAATGTGTATGAGGGAGGGACGGTGGGAAGGTTATACTAGAATAGAGCGAGGGGGTGCTTAACAGATCGACCGCTTCCCGCAAAAGTATAATCTAGCAGAGCAATCCAGCATAAGACGAGTTACCATCCCATAAACACGCATACATGATCATATTTGTATTTTTGCGTACAATTATTTATTTTTTGCCATGCTGTGCTCCTGTTAGTCTCCATTTTTGTGTGGCAGGGGAGCAATCCTTTTAGTAGAAGCATCACTTAGGAAGGAAAAAAAAAAGTGCGAAGGGCAAAGTGTACAAGTCTGTAACCCTAATTGCAGACAATGACATGCAGCCTTCCCCCACGTTGGAAGAACATGAGCCGAAAACCTCCCCCGCCAAACTCAGGACCCTTTTCTCACACAGAGACTAACGCACCGGAGTGAGCCCCCCAGCTGTATGTCACCACGTGCATACAATTTGTTCCCTTGTCCCCCTTCGGCTGTCCCTCCCTCAGTACACGCGTCACATGGATAAGTTCGAAGTAGGTCTCCCAACAGAGAAGAGCCCGCGCGGTAGTAGTGGGCACGCCTCCATGGGGGTGTGTAACTGCATGCTTCTGTAACTCCTTGTCTGTGTAACTTCGTACGTATGTAGGCTTGCGCCGCCACACCGCTGCACGATGCTTCGCCCCCTGCACAGACCCTTAGGGGATTTTCGAACCTTCCAATAGGACAGGAAGTGCTGATAGGGAAGTTACTAAACGAAGAGAGGTACCGACAGGACAGGAGAAGGAAGAAGAAGAAAGAAGGAGACATAGAAGAAGGAGAGATAAAAAAAGGACAAAACGTGGAGGAACAGTTATATTATTACCTCAATGAGAAGTATGAGTTCTTCATTGGGTACGACAATTTTATGAACACGTTGTTTAAGAAGAAGAAGGTTTTGAGAGTGATTCATGGGAGAGACCACAGGAGCAAGAGAAAGGAGGAGCAACCCCGTCGCGGGGGTGGACGGCACAGCGGAGTAGAGCCAAGTAGTGAGAACGCGAGTAAAGTGAAGTGTCGCGAGGGGTTCGATTCGAGTGGGCGCGACAGACGAACTGGCCACAGACGGGTTTCCCACCCACATGGCGCACATGTCAAGGATGAGGACGAAGACATCCCCCTGCAGCGCGACCAAAGGGGGAAGAATGTCTGCACCAAGGGGAAGAAGAACATGTCGGAGTCGCGGCACAAGGGAGGAGATTCCAAAGCGTTTAAGAGTGTTTCCTCCCCGCAGAGATGCACCTGCGACTGCCACCGGTGTCGCTCTCCGTTAGGGGCAATCGATCCGGATGAAGGCCAAGACAGCGTATCGGAAGATCGCGTATGTGACAAGCGGGGTGGCCTCATAACGAACGGGAAAAGTAGCCGCCTAATTGACCAATCGATTTACTCATCTGCATCCCCCCCCCACTGCTCCGATGCCAGTGACATCTCCAACCTCTCTCCAGACGCATTCTGCTTTGAAAAACAATTTAAGTACATATATGACCTGTACAAGCAGAATGACAAAAATGTATATTTATTTTATAACCCTCCGATGTGTAAGTGCGTCAATAAACCTTTTAAGGAGAGGTACTATCGGAGTCTGTGTCGGAAGTACCCCTGCCTCTTCAATTGCACGTTCGAAGATGAGGAGGGTGAGGGGAGGCAAAACAAAGGGGAAGCAACCAACAGGGAGGAAGCACCCAACGGGGGGGAAGCACCCAACGGGGGGGAAGTACCCAATAGAGAGGACAAACTCCAAGGGGGAGGGGAGGAACCAATTGATGCCAAGAGACTGACCTACGCCGAGGTAGCGTCCGACGCTGTGGAAATGAAGCTCTACGCTAAGGCGTTTTTTGAGTTGTGCCTTATGCAGGGGGCCAGAGGGGTGCCAAGCGGTGCGAAGGGGGCATCGGGTGGAAGTGCAAAGGAGGAATTGACCAACGCGGTGAAGCAGACATCGGGTGGCGATGCAAAGGAGGAATCGAATGACGGGACTAAGCAGACATCCAGTGACGCCCCACAACTGGGGTCTTCCCTCCTTGGCGAACAAGAAGAAGACATGCTTAAAAGATTCTTCAATAAATGTCTGCGAAGAATCATGAGGAGGAAATCTCCCACGTGCGAAAACACCTCATGCTGCGGGCTTCTATATGTCCCTTACAGTTACATTGTCGTTCTATTGAATAGGAAGGTGGAAAATTTGACCTACATTTGTACCAACTTAACACTCCCCTGCAGCACCGACATGTATTACAACAATAAGAAGAACATCGTCACAATCTGCACGAAAGATTCCGTGCATGAGTTCTTCTGTTATTACTCTCTGAGGGAAAATCGATACATAAAAAATATTCTCATATATGATGTCTTCTTCGATGGGTTTGTTCCTTTCTTTAAGCCGCTGCTCAATTTGAAAGTGAAAAAGAACTTAGACAAGGTGATGAATTACGTGAGCTACAACAAGGGGTGTAACTTGTCCCTCGTGTTTTTCTGGAGCGGGGGAAGTTGCGTGGAGAGCGGAATCAGCAGCGGGAGCAGTGACGAGGGCGAAGCGGATGAGACGAATAGGAGAAGCCAAGCAAGAAACATGACGCACCTGCGTGTGTGCAAAATAATAAACATAAATCATCCAAATGAATACAAGGGGATGAGAAGGGGACATCCAAAGAACGATTCCGCAGAGGGGACTGGCAGAAGAGAAAGGAAGGAAAGAATCAATCCAGACCAGCAGTACTTCGCCAACCTCTGCAATGGAGGTGAAGTCATTAATAATATGAATATCAACATAGTCGTCGAAAAAATCGTTAATATTGCAAATCGGAAAGAGAGTAGTCTCTGTCAGGAGAATTGTGTTTTCAACAGGGAAAAAAAAACGCATGGAAAGAAGAGAACACTTCAGATTTATCTGTGTGAATCGATTAACTCTTTCGCGTTCGATCGAAGACCTCTTTATATCAAACGCAGGGAGGTAACTCTCTCCTCTTTTGTGCACTTTCAGAATGTTATTAACGCGTACTTAGGCCCTAGTACGCACAGCCTGGATGTCCTAATTGGGCGGCGTATGGAGGAGGAAGTCTTTAACATGGCCCTGCGGAAGAGGAGCCTCCTCTCCAGTTGCTGTGTAGAAGCGGAAAACGGAGCGGAAAACGGAGCGGAAAACGAAGCGGAAAACGAAGCGGAAAACGAAGCGGCAAACGAAGCGGCCAGGACGAATAGAACGATGGGAGACGGCGGAGCAAGGAATGTGGGTCCCGCTAACCCCTCCGACACAGACCACCTATTCAATGAAACGCTCTTCTTCTTCAATGACAACTCCGATTTATACACTTATGAGGAGTACAAAAAGGGGAAGCTTCAGAGTGTGGGCAGAGGAGGCGACCAAGACAACAAAGCCACTTCGGAGAAGGAGCACACCACAGCCACGAGAATGTGGATGGCGAGAAGCGCAGCATATGCACAAAGGGGAAACCTATGGGACTCCCTATGTACACAATACGCACAGAATCTCTTCAATATTTACGTTTGCTCATTCCTCACAAAACGGAACAGCTACAAAAGGGTTTCTTCCTCCCTCGGGAAAGGAAAAAAAAAAAAAAAAGCAAATAAAGTAGATAAAGAAGATAGAGGAGATAAAATGTCCTACCAGGAAAGGATTACCTTCATTAAAGAATGCTACTTCCACCTGTTTCGCATATACAAAGAGAAATTCCGTGTGTCCCTGAAGAAGGAAGAAGAGGACATCCTGCACAAGAATAACTGGGCCACCGAGGATTTGCTCATCTCACGCGGGGGGAAGGATACCAAAGTGGCCAAGAGAAGAAGAGGAGATTAGCCCGGAGGGGAGGCTACAATGCCCATATGATGAGAGCCCGCTTTTCCGGGCAATCGCTCCCCTTTGTTCATTTCTCCCCCTTCGGTGGGACAGCTCCAGAGTGGGGGACCCCTGGTGATACTTCCCCTCCGCTGCCCCCTACCCCTAACACGAGCAGATAACGTGGCCGCGCTCGTTGCGGCGCCGAAGAGGGGGTGCTTCTGTGCCAGCTCACGCGGGTAGTTGCCTCTGGGAAGTTTACCTGGTATGTACAACTCCATACAAGTGTGCCCATGTGTACCGTCGCTTAACGAGACACTACTTCCACGCATGCTTTTTTTTTTATTTTTTTTTTTTTTTCCTGTGAAAGACCTATTATGCCTCTCCACCCATTTGGAGCAAAGCTTATCGTGAAAAAAAACAAAAAAGAGAAAATGTCTCTTTCGCGGAGGGGCCCCTCCGCCGGGGCGACATTTTCCTACACGGGGGGTGCTTTCCACTCCGCGCAGCAGTGCAGATTTGTTCATTAGCGAGATCACCCATGTAGGTGTTCTTTCTTCCGGCGCACCTGGCGACACGTGGAACATTTTCAAGCGCCGCATTTTTTGGAATCCAACAAAGGGGAAAAAAGCACACCTCATATCAGGGTCAACACAAAATGAAAAAAAAAAAAAAGAAATCACCTTTAAAATGAATTATTTCCCACGTGCGTAAGTAAAACATCAACGTTTGACTCGAAAAAGTCATCCCGACATCGTCGCGTGAGCAATGTGAGGAAGGATGTTTCCCTCCGTTCAGCTGAAGAGAAGGTAAAGGGAGGGAAAAACACAAATCAATGGGGCTTTTTGAGGGAGCAGAACCCCCCTGAGAAGTTGACTTCCACGCGAAGGGGGTGGGGGTGTTGCCCACTAGGAATCGCCGCTGTGAATTAGGTGTAGCGACACAGTGTAGAAGCTTCACATCGTTGAAAAACGTTTTTTCTCCCCTTTTGTTTCCCCTCCCACACTACGCAGTACACTCTTGAGACTCTCCAAGATTCTATCCCTGTCCGCCGTCACATCTAGGGGCAAGGCGCAGGAGTTAATCAAAAACGGGAAGGTGAAGGTTACCACGGAGTTGCTTTTTCCCCCCCGTTTTGGAAGCGGTGCAGCCTGATATGCCTCGCTCGAGAGAGAGAGACACCTACTCAATGGGTATCATATGAGTCCGAGGCGGACCCCTACTTCGATCCACTCCTAAACCGCTTCTCCTTTTTTTGTTCCACTTTTCCCTCCCAGGTGAACAACCAGGTGGTGCGTCAAAACGTCGTCGTGGACATAGACTCGGCTATCGAGCTGGACGGGAAGCCAATCGTCGTGGATGTGACGACCAAACTGTGGGGAATCTACAAACCGAGACATGTATTTTGCAGCTCGGAGAGGAATTACGAATATGAGGAGAAGAGGGAGGCACTGAAGGATCATCCGCACGTGGTGGTGACAGGTCGGAGATTACAACAAAGGGGTAGTTACTCCGGGACGCAGGTGCCACCTGGAGACATGCGCAGGGGGTTCCTTTTGGAAGGAGGGACGCATATAAGTGGGAGAGGAAGAAGTGATCTTTACCAAGGGCACTCAGGAGAGGTGACTGAAACATTAAGGCAGTTAAATTGGAGGGGAGATATTGTGAGGCCTCCCCCCGAAGTGGGAAAGAAGCAGGACGAAGTGGAGACAACACCCACACGGAGTGAACCCCAAAAGCTAAACACAAACCTCTTCGATTTTATCAGGAAAAAGAACAAAGCGTATGAAACCAAAAATAATGTCACGAATGACATCCCTGAGCATCTCATCGTAGTGAACGCTTTAAGTGCCTCTAGCGAAGGACTGATACTATTAACAAATGATGGAGACTTCGCAAGGAATTTAAAAAACACAGAAAATAATATCATCACAACGTACATCGTAAAAGTGAAAGAGGAACTCACAAATGAAAAGATCAAGTTAATTGAAAAAGGCTGCTACGTTGGTGATCTGCACATACGACCACTAAATGTGGATGTCATCAAACCACATTGTACCTCCCCCAAATGGATCAAACTTACCTACGTAGAAAAATCACACACACATTTAGACCTTCTTTTTTCAAAATATGGCTTAACCATTAGGAAGTGCAAACGTTTTTCCTTTGGCCCGTATAAAGCATCCGATCTGTCGGTGCACTTTCTCACGCCGCTGAAAATTCACAGCACGCTCTCTAGCATGGTTCCTAAGTACCATCCCAAGTTGATTCTCTCACAACCCACTGGCAATGTCCTAACGGATAAACATGATAAGTTCGTCCTGGTGAAGGACTATCTCAAGGAATCGGCCATTCGGGGGGAGAAGGGCAGGACACACAAGAGTACAAATGGAGACAAAGTTATATGGGGTGGGGGATAGAAAATGAAACTGATGCGGAAGTGGCGTCGAAACAGAACAGGGTACTATTTAAATAAATGGACAATCCATTCTTCTTGCATCAAGTGAACGCAGACACAGAAAACGCATTGCTGCTAAGAATTCCTCTTACAAATGTATTCAGCTTGAACACGTGGTACCCACAGTGTGTCCGCATATTGGGTGGTTATTCATTGTTTGGGGGAGGTCCAATTTTTTTTTTTTTTTTTTTATCGCTCAAACGGATAGACCCCCTCATTTTGCCCCATTTTTTTCGTGTTTTCCCTTGCCGAGTGCAAAATCTTAAAAATAAAAAAAAGAAATATATAATGCGTAAAAGTAGAAAAATAGAATCCACAGAATAAAACGTACCAGTGGAAAAAAGTGGGCAACTTAAATCAGGGTGCAAAAATGGAAGCCTAGTGGAGTGGGTGAATGGGGGCGGAGCAGCGGGGAACCACGCACTCGGCAACGAGCGGGCATAAGTGCACAGACCCACGCTCGCGTGCGGATACACTAATGCACGCTCCCATGGAATCCATTCTATCGTAAGGACAAGGATGCAACGCTGGAAAAAATAGACACATCACAGTCCCGTGTAAAGGAATTTTTTTTTTTATCATCTGATGTGTGCTCACGTTGCTGAGTAGTAAAGACGTAACCAACAAATGCAGAACGAAGGAAACACATGAAAAAGGAAGGCACACTCCTCCATCACTCTCGATGTCACTCGAAGGAGCTCCTTAAATGTGCCACTGGGCAGTAAAACCGAAGTGGCGACGCAAGAGGGTGGTTAATAAGGCACAGAGAAGAGGAGTGGGTCATACTTCAGGAAATTGGATTCTATCCTTATCACCCTGGGTATCCTAGTTTCCATTCTTATGACCTTGGGTATCTTCGGTTGCACCCTTATCACCTTGGGTATCTTCGGTTGCACCCTAATCGCTCTGAGTATCTTCGGTTGCACCCTTATCACCTTGGGTATCTTCGGTTGCACCCTTATCGCTCTGAGTATCTTCGGTTGCACCCTTATCGCTCTGAGTATCTTCGGTTGCACCCTTATCGCCCTGTGTATCTTCGGTTGCACCCTTATCGCCCTGTGTATCTTCGGTTGCACCCTTATCGCCCTGTGTATCTTGCGTTGCACCCTTATCGCTCTGAGTATCTTCGGTTGCACCCTTATCGCCCTGTGTATCTTCGGTTGCACCCTTA